ATCAAACGTGCAGTGAAACACCACAAACAAGTATTTATATCTCATATCCTTCAACAATTTACTTTCTGCCTGAACATAGTGCGTATGGGTAATCTGAGAAAACATAGAATTATTCTTTCATACTTTATGGAAATCCTTTAGCGCAGTGTAAATTCAATCCAGCTTCCGAACCGCTTGTTCATCATAATACGCTGAAACGCCTCGCTTAAGTCCACTGAAATTTCACTTGAGCATGAAGCACTACAGACAACACGCATTAATAATTAGAAGTTATTCCTTCAAAATAAAACTAACTGAAGAAGAAGCACAATAAATATTTAGGACTTACCGTTGAGTTGACATTTGGTCTTACCTTTTTTGTCTAACAGCGACTGACAAAAACTCTGCGTATCTATGACTTTGAACGTTATCTTTCTTACGTTGTTTTCTGGAACTTATCAAATAATTATATAAAGGTGTTGATGTTTACTACAGCAGTTCCCAAGCTCCCAATTTTGGGAAAGCCGCTATAGTAAACTTTTGAGAAACGGCACAACCCAAAAATTTCCACAGAGCTGGGGAAAATCCCCAATATTTCCTTTTAACCTTGGTCAAGGCTATTTGGCTTTGGGGATTTTCCCAAACATTGGTGAGGGTCATTTGACTTCGGGAGTTTCCCCAAAAAACCCCAAAATTGGAAGCTCGGGTTGGGACGATAGATCAAGTTACGAAGCAACAACAGAGCTCATGTGTACACTACAAAACAGAGATTGCCAAAATTAATGCGCTTAGCAGTTACTTTGTGCTTTTTCATGCAGCAAAAGATGGCTTGAATATGGAAAAACTTAATACTCATACATACCCATTTAGAGTACGGAAACATAGTATTTCCCCCCTCATTCCAAAAGGATAAGGACACCATGGAGCGTATCCAACGGCGAGCCACTAAATCAGTTAGAGGATTCAAATTTAAACCTTACGAAGAGCGCCTCCATTCACTTAACTTTTACCCATTAGAGTATAGACGTCTTAGAAGTGACCTTCTGATGGCTTACAGTATCCTTAACACTTCTGGACATCCTCTCAAACACCTAATTAAGCTTAGTTCCAACACTAACCTAAGAGGTAACACCCAAAAACTTGAGACACAACATAGCAGAATGGACTGTAGACATAACTTATACTCCTTAAGAGTTGTCAAATGCTGGAATTCGCTGCCGGCCGAGCTAGTCCAAGCGACTTCCCAGGAGTTCTCTAAGAGGTGACTTGATCTATTCTTAAGGACTAAGGATAGTATCACACTATGATTTACTAATTTCTTTTCCCTTTTTATTGTTAACATACCTAGGTTCCTGCCTGGAGGATTTGGTGATCCTCTGCTACTAGACACGGAAGCCTGTTAAGAGAAGGCTTCTTCTATTCCGTCCACAACCATTTGAACCCAACACACCCACGGCAACTGAAATACGGAATGACCGCCCCTAACCAGGCCGTTCAAAGTCGTTGAAACGAAACGGCGGGCAGATTTGAAGGAGATTATCGTTTTTATCTTGCCTGCCCTTTCACTGCACAAGTTACAAAAAAGTACTATAAAAGACATTGTGGTGGTTGGCAATATGCATTAAAGAGAATGAACATTAATCGTATTTCCATTCCCGAGCTTCTAAATTCTAACTACCGATCACTAATCAACAAAGTGGACTATCTGCAATTCCTACTACGTCAAAGTATGTATCGTAATTGTGGTGTCATCACAATTCAAGAATCTTGATTAAATGATTTACAGGACGACTGCCTAGTATCAGTACGTGATTTCAAAATTTATCATCAGGATCGATCAAAGAATCAAAAGAGGTGTGGCGGCGGTGTGGCTACGTTTGTAAACGTGAACTGATGTCAATCTTCCTTTGCGTGTTTCAAGTTTTCAAACGACTTTGCCGACTATCTGACTCTAAGATGTCATCCAAAACATCTGAATAAGTACAAATATGTTTATGTTACCAATATCTACGTGACTTCAGACTACACATCATCTGCGCTATCTGTTTTCGCTGATGAATTCACTGAGTTATCTGTTACCGCCTTCAGTGATTCACTTTCAGTTGTATGTGGTGATTTCTGTTCATGTGACGGTAGCTTCCTCACGTCACTAGGTCACCGAAGTGTAGTAGATTTTCCTGCTCGTTTGGATGCTCATTTAGACTTAGTTTTCATTAATGATGTGGGCATACATGTGACTCGTAAACGTGATCCATTGTCCAGCTCGGGCCAATGTATAATTCGTGTTCTACCTAAAGTAAATGGGAAGCATGGTAAGAGTACACTCTTACATCAAACCAAGAAAGTCAAATGTAGAAATTACTCAGAAGAAAATATCCGAAATCTGAAAAACATGTTTCATACGACTAACTGGTAGTTGTTTACAGATGACTCACTGGAAATCACTACTGATGTTACCACTTGTTACCTAAAATTCTGATTTGATATTTGTTGTCCCACTGAAACCATTTTTGTAAGTTTTGATGGACTTACGTCTTCACAACTAAAACGACTAAGGAGGGTAAAATAAAGAATGTACAAGAAGAAAAACTCTAATGAAGTTCGCAAGCTAAATGGTGTAATAAACCTAGAGATAAGAAGTCTCAGCTCTATGTTTACTCAAAAACTCTTGTCATGCAAAAACTCTCCAACTATGTGGAAACTCCTTAAAGAACATGCAAGTGACAGACAGATAAGGAGCAATAACCGGCTCATTGTTTGTGACTTAAATAAGTCTTTTGTACGTTAGTCATCTCATGTAATGTTCCCTTTATCCACAGGTTTAAAGAACACCTGTGTTCCTAGTTTCACTGAAACTGATGTCCGAAGATGTCTCTAGTCAAGTAACTCATTTCGCTGGTTAGGACCTGATGGTATCCCAAACCTCCTTTTTAAAAATGTGCTGACGTCCTATTTTATCCATTCACGAGTATCTTTAACAGATCCTTCTCATCTAATCTCATACCGAAAATGTGGAGAAAGATGAAGATAATTCCTGTACCCAAAAAATCATCTGGTGATAAGAATGTAAAATTTAGACCTATTGCAATAACTTTATCCTTCCTCAAAACAATGGAAAAATTATTAATACTTCCACTTCAGCCTGCGACAAAAGAGCATATTGATCCATATGAGTTTGCTTACAGATGTAAAAGAAGCACCTTAGATACTGTTGCTGTTCTGCATCATAATATATTGTTCAACTTAGAAAAGGGTAAGAAGTATGTTCGATGTGCTTTTCTGGTCTATACTTCAGCTTTTGATTCTATGCCAAGACAACGTTTACTCAACAAGTTGATTAGCGTCAACACTGACAGCTGGATAACCAACTGGCTATGTTCCTACCTTTCTGGAAGGGAACAGTACACTGTATTTGGAAGACAATGTTCAGTCTCTACCGTCTCATGAAGGTGTACCACAAAGAGCTGTTCTTTCACCTCTTCTTTTCTCTTTTTTTCTGCATGATCTGCCATCTTCCACAGAAAACACTTTTGTGAAATATGCGGATGATCTCACTGTATGTATGCCTATCTCTTCCTTTTAACATCCCATAGAAATGAATGAGTTTTTGTCTCATATTAATTGTTTGTCTGTTGGTAATGGTCTTACACTTAATCCGTCTAAGTGTCAAGCTGTTAACTTTAGCATGAGACATGAACGGCATTTAAACACCATTTTAAGATCCCATAATGCTTGTGCCATTGGAGACTCTTTGATAAACACAGTGTTGAAGATCGATTATCTCGATGTTACCTTTTCCTCTGATCTCTCTTGGTCTTCTCACGTTTTGTTGTTATCGAAGATGGTTTTCCGTCTGACCTACTACATAAAGAGATTGCATGCTCTTGGGATTACTCGTCGTTTACTCTTACGATTTGTCAATTCTTGCATATTACCTATTATTCTTTACTGTTCTCCATTATTCTTTCCCGGGCTTTTGAGAAAAGAATTTGCTGTATTGCGGAGAGTGTTGAAGGCAGTTAGCAAGACGTGTGGTGAATCTTTCGAGGTCATAATTAATGTGGTTGTGGATAGACATCTAGAGTCATGCAAACTCCTGGCAGTTGTTATTTTATTAGGTGCCATCCATCTTTATTCATATATTTCTCCTTGTATATCTTCTGGTAGAACGAGAAGTAATTACATTGAAATCCATGCAAGCAAACAAAAGTATAAAAGTTCTATACCTTATCTAGCAAATATACTCTGTGACGAACAGGTTAATAGAGTTAACCTAGTCAATAACTTGCATTCTTAACATGTCTCTAATTTGAAAAGTTGTACAGCTTTTTCAGATTTTTTAAACCGATTTTCCCTTTTTTTGTCTTTGTTTCTGTTTTTTGTGTAGGAAACTTGTTGAAATACCCTGTGCCGAGAATTTCTATATTGTATCAAAATATATAATATTGAACAAAGTCATTAATAGTAATAATAATAAATACTTAATTCACTTCCCCTCACAACATAATTCTAACCTTAGATGATTCAATGAGTAACCACGGAACTACTGTTATGATTTATTATCTAAACTCCTGATCATTTATTGTTTAGTATATGTTTTTACATTGTTTTAGATGATGAAACTACAAAGTTGGGGTACAAATACATCAATGATAAAAAATCGAGATGTAGGTACTGTAATTCCTCGAACGTCTTCATTACCAATCAGGCTCAGATATTACGAACATTAATTACACGACTGTAGTGTTTGCAAGAACTAATGATTTAAATGTATTTATTTGTGCACTGATTACGAATTACAAATATAATATGTTCATTTGTGCTCATCTAGATCTACCTGCCTTAAAACGCAGTATTTCTGGAATTCTCAGTAAATACATAAATTCGAATAATTCTGATTATAAAATTACCCACATCTCTGCATGTGACATTCCGTTTCAAAACTTATTTTGTGCGATTATTCCATCAATACGAATGTCAAAAGCCAAAGTAACGCTAATTAGTCGTAAACAATCACCTCACTAATCCAAAAATAAATGTTTGTATATCCATAATTCATTTAATGAATCCCTATCTAATCTAACCTGATAAATATTACAAATAACAAATATGCTTACATGAAACACATGAAATTAATAATGTGAACAAAATACCACAAAATATGCACTAATGTATGAAAGTGTACAAAATAACACTGAGAAATAGTAAGTAATAAAAGTTATTCAGATGAAGTCCTCTGAGTTGGGATCCATTGTTTCCTTCGTCACAATGTGACTGATTCGTGTATGGTCCGATACAAAGCGAGTACATGGTTGCATGTGCAATAAATGTGTTATCCAATGAAGAATGAAATAGTTCACTGTAAGGTCCATTAGCATAAATCGGTACATCCTCAGCACTGTGTGTAGAAGTACTGAGTCTCACTAATGATTCTGCAGTATAGTTGCTTGCAAATCTATCTTCTGTTGCCGGATCCGATCGAGGTGCATCCAATATACCTCTTGGCCCATTGAAATAGGAAGATATGAGATATGATTTATTATCATCTCCCTGTAACACAAAACAAAGCAATATTAGATAATCTCATTCCACTGAGTGTATCAATGTTTCTTATATGGTCTACTTTAATTGTATACCACACACTATTTGAATCCGTAATAATATTATTGATGACAGAGACATGTAAGTTGGGATATTTTGAAAAATAACCAGGTTGTTCTAAATGACTATAATTTTCCTCAAAATCTTTCAACATTTTGATTTCCCAATGTAAAGAAGAGTAGATATTCAGTGACTATATTAAATATTTCGAAGAAACGTTACTGTGTGATACAGGGAAAATACCATTCATTTCTTTGAAACATCAGAAAATCTACTTTATACTTTTCGAATATAAACCCATTTACAAAGACAAGTGAAAGTCAGGGTGATTGTGACCTCTCATCACCAGCTGACCAGAACTTAGATTTCGCACGTAAACACACAGTATAAATTATAGTCAACACCATAATTGGTGAATTATCATCATATTAATGACATTTAGTTGTTAAACAGTTATTTGTGAAAACACGTATTTACGTCAATTTTCCGTTGGATACATTCAATGAGGTCATTTTCAGTTACAAATAAATGATTTCGAAATTGAGCACTCCGAGACAAATTTATCATGTCATTATGCATAGCATATCCATTTACTGTCTCCAATTTTAACTCTCATCAAAATTTAATTAAATTTCATCAAGTACACGATGCCGATACGAACAAGGGTGAATTCGAACAACATTATTATTATTAATTACAATAACAATAATAATAATAATAATCGTGTAGAGAAGAAGAATTCCAAATACGCATGAGCGATTAGAAATTATGATACTCAGATATATAAGTATGCAAGTACGTCATCGCGCACTTTGAGTAAATAACATTTAACCTACTAAGATGTGAATATATGTTGGTTGTAACTGGTGATTAGTCACACATACTCACACAAGCCTGTAAATGATAAAATAAAGATATAGGCAAATAGTTACCGACACAAGTGACACTACCTATTAAGTAAGTTATTCAGAGGTTATAATAAACATAAACTCATACAAGCTCAAGTGAAGGTGAGATCGCTGTAATGTAACAAACTCATGCTATTATGTTTCAATTGTTAAATGGCGAGAATCCGTTGTCGAATTCGTTGATAAAATATGCTAGCGATAACGAAGTAGTCAACCTTTTGCTTGCCTTGCGAGTATCTGACTAATCCGTATTCGGTTAACAACATTTCTATACTCATCAAATCCTTTTTGAAACTGGATTTCATGACGAATATACATGAACTGAAAGACCACCACAAACATCCCAAGCAAACGGAAACTCTGTTTACAGTCAGTAATTGTAAACATTCTTTGCCCTAAAAATTGTTGCAGTGTTATACTTGAGCTTATATCTTCGATCTTACTGTTGATAAACCTTTCAAATGGATTCCAAACAACCAATCATCATGCAATTTCGATATTATTCTCCAGTATCTTAACTAAATTGAGACTGTTTGTTGAATGTTGACATTATGTACTAGCTAAGTAAAATTTATTATTTATATTGTTGCCATTCCAACTATCTCGATTCCTCCCTCTTACTCCTATCTAAAATGATATCTGAAGCTAATTATTAATTTTCGCATTTCACTAATTCATTTTAATCATAAATCTCTTTGTAATGTGAACATACATTTGACACAATCTGTTCACAATTCGATCTGTGAAATTTTCATAAATTAAAATAGTTTTCTAATGAGCCATAATCGAACATGTGATTTTACTGTTTAGACCAATTTTCGAGTAGATAATTTGCAGTACTGATTTGCTTAGTATACCAGTACTGACGACAGAAAAATAAAAATATGTTGATCACATTGATTGTCAATTATATGTCAAATCATATTTTATTAAGTAGCACACATTTGATTTTTAGCTGTATATATATCCAAAATCAATACAGGAGAGGCAAAATAAACTAATCACATCAAGTAGGCCCTTATAAGTAACACAATACATCACAATCGTATGATAGTTCAATATCGTTATTTAGTAACTGTAATATATTCTTGTTTACAGGTATAAGTAAGAAGCGATTCCAGCATAATAATCAGAGACGACTAGTCATAGCAAATTAACGACGAGATATAACAATTGCCGATGGAAATTTTAGAATAAGAAAACTATAAAAATTGATGACAGAGTTATTTTACAAGTTTCGGTTTCCAGTTTCAACCCAGTTGATGACTCATTAGTTTCTAATGTAGTCCTTCATAAATTTAAGAAAACTATTTCAAATCAATCAACTGAAATCAGTAGCCAACTTTTTTTGGAATTGAAATATTTTACTAAGCGTCAATTCCATTTACTACATGTAATCTATACTCTCTCCATTTCAGATTGTTGAATTTTGATACTGAGAGGTCTTACTTTCAATTGTTAAGTACAACAGCTGTTTGTAATTAAAATAACCTATTCTGTTACCGCATAAAATAAAAAGAATTCAGCGAAAATTTTCTTCTCGTCAAAATCATATACTTCAGCTGTACCTTCATATTTATATTTGTATAGTAAATATGTGACTATAGAAGGATAGAAGAGATTGCTAAGTTTTTGGTTGAGATCATGAATCAATTGATGTTAGACCACCGTTGAAAACCTGGAAGCACTGGACGGCCGTTTCGTCCTAGTATGGGACTCCTCAGCAGTGCGCATCCACGATCCCGCACCCCGCGGGATTCAAACCCAGGACCTACTGGCTTCGCGCCTGAGCACTTAGCCATTAGACCACTGAGCCGGCATCCAATGGTGTTAGTGTCTAACATCAACCTATTCACGAATGGTTAAGTGCTCAGGCGCGAAGCCAGTAGGTCCTGGGTTCGAATCCCGCGGGGTGCGGGATCGTGGATGGTCACTGCTGTGGAGTCCCATACTAGGACGAAACGGCCGTCCAGTGCTTCCAGGTTTCCAACGGTGGTCTAACATCAATTGATTCATGTTCTCAACCAAAAACTTAACAATCTCCACAACCCCCATACTGAGAAGAGATTGCATTATAAAGCGATTCAATACCCTAGTTATCAAGTGATGTTACGTAATAGTCAGGGGGTTAGGGAAGAATGTAAGGATGAAAATAATTGACAGGTCAGAAAGATGTAATACAATTGTCCACTTATATGTTTCTCTAACCCCCTGATCATTACGTAACCTCATTGGATAACTAATCTCGAATCTCTTCTAACCTTCTACATTCATATATTTACCATACAACTATAAATACGAAGGTACAGCTGAAGTAAATTATTTCATCGAAAAGCTATTTTTAAACTGATGTGTATTGGTAATAAACCGTTTCCCGTTTACACAAATGCCTAAAAATCAAACGGGGTTAACACTTACTTTTGCAGTATTATCCACATCTAGCACACTTGTAAATGATAAAGTAAAAATATAAGCAAATAGTTACCGACACAAGTGACACTACCTATTAAGTAAGTTATTCAGAGGGCATAATAAACATAAACGCATACAAGCTCAAGTGAAGGTGAGATCGCTAGAATATAACGGACTCATGTTATTATGCTTGAATCGTTGTTCTTATTTTAATTGAGATCTTGAACCAATTGAAGTGGGTCGCGCAATTTCGTGGATTGGTTGATGTTAGAAACTATCACCATTGGATGCCGGCTCAGTGGTCCAGTTGGTTAAGCGTTCGCGCGCGAGACCGAAGGCCCTGGGTTCGAATCCCGCTCGCGGGATCGTGGATGCGCACTGCTGAGGAGTCCCACAATAGGACGAAACGGCCGTCCAGTGCTTCCAGGTTTTCAATTGTGATGGTCTAACATCAATTGGTTCAAGATCTCAATTAAAACTTAATAGTCTCCACAACCCCATACTAGTTCTTATTTTACGCGAATTCATTGATTTCACCATTTACATGTATGCACTGGTACCACTAAATCAACAAACTCTCAATTATCACAACTGGTGAGCTGTGCAAATTTTGAATCGGTGTGCCTAAAACTGCACTCAAAGTCAAATAAATGAAGTAGTTTGAGAATTGACCTGTTTTAAAAACAATTGCGTTTGTTTTACTGTGCTCTCAGCTTACATGGACTCCACTTTCAACCCATTTCAACTACTTTAAAGAGTCAATCAATTGTAATCTGACCGACTCATTTATCTGCTTAGGATAACTCCGATACATTATGCAATCTCATTGTTCAATAACCATTCAATCATGTTACATGACGAGAATGTGTTGTCGAATTCGTTGATAAAATATGTTAGCGATAAGGAAGTAGTCAATCTTTTGTTTCCCTCCTGAATATCTGACTAATTCATATTCAGTTAACAACATTTCGATACTCATTAAATCCGTTTTGAAACTGGATTTCATGAGGAATATATGTCAACTGAAGGATCTCCACAAACATCCCAAGCAAACAGAAACTATGTTTAGACTCAATCATTGTAAGCATTCTTTGCCCTGAAAATTGTTCCGGTGTTATGAGCGAGCTTTTAACTGCGATCTTACTGTTGACAAATCTTTCAAACGGATCGTGCGATGGGAACTTTGTAACTATGAATCCAGTTTCCAATCGTTTTGAGACTTGAAATATTTTGCCAATCATAACTTCAAGTTGCTACATGTTATCTATTGTCATTTCATTGACATCAGTAGGTTCATTTGTTGCCTACTACATACATCAGATATTGGTAAATTGATGTGTTTCGCTAAGAAACCGTTTCTTGTTTACTCAAATGCTTAAAAATGGAAAAGGATTAACACTTACTTTTGCAGTATTATCAACATCTAGCACACTTGTGTTCCTTGTTGGATAGCCGACCACTCCATATGCATGTGAATGGTCAGCTGTTACTAGCAGTAGTGTTTCCTGTTGATCAACAAGCGACAATGCTTTCTCGACAGCTTTTTCGAGCTCCAAAGTTTCACTTAACGCGTATCTGTAATCGGTAAGAATTTGGAAAAGTAATCGTATCATCAATCCAATTAAAATGACAAATACATGTGTCGGAAACCTTAATAAACAACACTCCACGTCAAACTTTAGATTAAACGACGAGGAATAGTCGACATCAGTTTAGTTTCATACCAAAGACCAAAAATATCATGACAGTGTCATTAGTTTTAATTGTGGAAATAGTTGGAATTATAATAATATTTTCTTACTGGGCTCGATTGTCGTGATTCCCATGATCAATTTTACCTCCTTCCACTAACAAAAGAAATCCTTTAGGATTACGAGAAAGTACTTTGATAGCAGCTTCTGTCATTTCTGCTAAACTTGGTTGGTCTTGGTTTTCCAGTTGATAAGCCAAATGATTCGAAGCAAACAAACCTGAAAATCAATGTGTAATATTATATCTGAATGAAATGCCATAAAATCAATGATAGTGTCAGTAACTCAGAATACATTGGATCAATCAACATACTACGTTAAAGGCTTGGAAATTCTGCAAATATGAAGGGAATCAATGAACCAAATAGTACGAAAATGGCTGAATCCAATGTGTGATGAACATTGGTTAAGTATACGGAAGATGGTTAGCATATTCGGTACCGCAAAACTATTTAATTCCAGTCAAATTCACATATCTACAGTCTTAACATCCAGTGGTCATTAACTGCCTGTCCACATAATCAAGCCATCACAAAACATATTTATGAAAACTATTAAACATAGAGCATTAAATAAACGTTAATAAATTATTTATTGGAAACGACAAATTTGTGCTGGTGGCCAGTAGCCGAATCATCACGGGATGCACAAAATGATTTCCATTTTAACGTTGATCCATGCCTAAGGCCACTGCACAATTACGCTCCAGGCAGTGAGTTGTTTACTAGTTACTGATTCACAATAACACTATGTAGCGAAACTCACGAATCATAGAACCTACCCAAAACGTAGTCAATCGAAGACCAGTCGGTTCGTTTAAACTCATCGTTTGTATGTAAGAGAACATGCTTGCGATTCATTTCAGCCTGCATATCTTTCCATTCTTGTAGTAGGTTGCGTGAATCAGAGCGTTTGCCTTTCATGTTGAAAGTGGTATTGTCTGACGGACCATAGAATTCGGCTGCCCCTCCTCCCATTATGACGTTGACGTGAGAAGCGTTTGTCAGTAGTTGTGCAGCAGCGTCTACGCAGTGGAATCCGCGCTTGTTTGATGGTCTGAATGAGAGGAGAAATAAGTGACAGTGATGATGATGACGATGATGAAGTCAGTCACTTGTGGTAACAGTGAAAATACGAAGATGGAGCTTCAGTGTAGGTAGTCAGAAGATATCAGTGTGAAAGTGAATCGAACTACTATAAATTGTTTCGTGTCAAAATTCTAATGAACACCACATCCATTTCACTACAACGGCTACTATAAGTAACTGTGTATGACCGTCGATATAAGCAGCATATACCACAATTACAGATCAATGTATTTGATCTGATTTTGAGTCACACCATCAAGCACTGGTATTTAACAATGAGAAGTTAGCTACCTCAAGAAGTAGATAAGGCATATGTTTGCTCCTGATTGCTGCTAAACCAGATATGGTTATGAAACTAGACCTACAAAAGTTTACACATTTCGTCAAAACCAAGACCGGTTGTAATTTCTATTCAAACAGTTAGCCGAATAGATAAATTAATGTGGGTAAGCTCTTATATGTATTCGTGTATAAGTTGGTAATTTATTCATCACACCTTGTCTTATGCCCATATTGTACTGTGTTCGTAAACTAATGCAATTCGTGGATATTGAATATATTATTGTGATTATCACCGGTTGATTTATTTATCCCGAATATTCTGGGATCAATTGTAGCACATTTATACCGTAATCCATCTTGAAATTCTGTATGTAGTTAGATAAACACGTCGATTTTTAAAGATGATTAATGAATTAATGGTGTTTTATTTCACCAGATGTCATGTGGGTAGAGGCAGCCGATCACATAGATGATAAAGCAATCAACATAAATTCCCTTGACCATTTTGAAGAGGACTAATTATAAACTCATTCATAAAACCCAAGTTCTTACTCTCTATTTTGAACCAAACATTTTTGTGTAAAGATGATAATGGCACTATCATTTTATTGACCATAGCAGGTGAACGGTGGTTTCAAACCTATCTATTCATGACTGTGTGGAGCCCAAATAAGAAAGTCATCATTGGGAAGGTTATTTTATTTAGGATCAAAGCAATCTGACATAAAGTAACAATAAAGCAATTTAATGGATAAATGTTTAATAGCTTCCGGATGAATGTGAGATTTCACTTCAAATTTATAATTCCTTTTGAGTGATATGAAACAGATCATTTATGGACACAAACTTAAGTGAACCTTATGATATATAGATACCACTATAGATACTACACTATCATTTTTCTAAGGAAATCTTAATCTCACCAAGTTTACATATTTCATTCACAGTGTATTGGGAAAAACCGTTTTCTAAAATTAATGCTTCTTAGTTTGTCGTACTCAAACAAAATACACAAAACACTAACTGTAAACGGAGTTAATTACGATAAAACCTGCACACATAATTTATGTACTTTGTCATATTAAAACTATACATAAATGTAAAATCACTGTCTAATATAATTTGCACTTACCCTACCGACTCCCACTTTCGATGTAAGACATTGGCATATGCTGCTGCAGGTGTTGCATGAGTAACCCTCGTAGTTGTTACTATTCCAGTGGAAAATCCTGCTTTAGAGGCATACATGAGAGAAGATTTCGCTCTTTCAACTTCTTTTAACTCAATACATTCACAGCACTTCACTGTTCCCGTGATACCGACAGTTTTATGAGGCCCTTTCACACCTGGAAATAATTTAAAATCAGCAGAATATGCAGCAAAAGTTACACATCAAATAACGACAGAAAATTAAATTGCTATGTGTGTGATTTTGCATAAATCTCATCATAATAAATCCATTCATCTTTGATAGCATAGTGATCTGCTCATAGACTAGCAGCTTACACTTCCAACTCAAGTTAAATCAACATTCATTCGACTTATATCAGTAAACTATGAAAACTGTATTTGACACTTAACCTTCTGAAGTCTTAAAGTGTACACTTCAAAACATGTTCTTTGTTTGAAATGAACTTTGATTCGACTCTTCGACCGATTAGAATACATTATTTAGAGTATTCAGTATTTCAAAAGTTTTCGTCTAGCATATCTTCCATTATTGACAAATACCAAATGGGAAACATTGTGGAAGAAGTATCACTGTCCACTGGTTATTCGCCTTAATTTAGCTCATGAATTCATGATCAAATACAAAGCTTTTGTTTTATCACATGGAGAATAACATTATTGAATCAGTCAGATGTGAGCTAATGGTTTTCGGTTACTGATTTCAATCAATTTGATGTGATCATTATTACTAATTGATAACTAATCAATTTTCTACCTGATTGGCTCTATGTGGCTTAACCTCCCATACGAACTCCAAAGAAGCTCATGATAAGGTAAACCAAGAAGATGAGATGAGTTTTTATCTCTACTGCAATCGGCTTTCTCCAGATTATAAAATTGTGGGAAACTCGGACCAGTATAAGTACTCAATGGAGTGCGAATTTCATTAGTGGATATGGGATAATTAAATACTGATCAGAAACATCAAAATCGATCTGTACCACACCTACGTGGATCTGAATAACATCTCCCATAAAAGGTAATTAATCTGACTTGTAAGTGGAACTAATTATACATTTATCTATTCTCCAGATTCCGCTTATGTTGTGCAGAAGAATTACAGAATCAATTTGATAAACGAGACTATCTACAGAATAGTAAATCACAAAACACTTCAAGTGTATTTAAATTCATTTGCTTCAAATATACACATTGTTCTATGATCAACGAAATGTTCCGATTTTTATCTCACAGGACATGTATAGTTAAAATATGGCAATGAAGTAGTAGTTGTCTCATTAAAGAAATTTGCTCACCTTACGACTTACCTGACATAAAAGCAGTTGCCGCAGAACCTGAATCTGTCGTCAGTCTGTCTGAGTTGAATGTACGAACAAGTGATGCAACAGGCCAGTTTTCCCATTCTAGTTGTACATCACCACCTAAAACATCCATCCTCTCCGCCTTCAAATATCTTGCTCCAGTAACAGTGTTCAAGCTCATACCATCACCAATAAATAAGATGATATTTTTTGGTCGTTTAGTGATGAGTAATATAATGATTGTTCAAATTTATTAAATCTCTCATCTGCCAACCTCTTCCAAGTTTCTGGATCTGTTACATTCAATAATGACGATTTACACTCAATTTTATACTGTGATAGTATGACTGCCATGAAAAATAGCAAGCATTTCGGAACTGTCGATAAGACAGTAGGAAGCATATCTTCCACTTACGAGGTCTACAAATTTTGTCGGTTGATTTGGTTCGTTTAAATACTGTTTCACAAACCGAAACTTTCTAATATTTTGTCATGCACTGATTTCTCATTGGCTTATCTTTGGATTACCTAACAAATATATATTTAAATTGTTGATTTCAGCCATTCACATGATGCGGATTGCATCCATTATTCTAAACTTTAATGAGTTAGTTTAATTGATGTTGAACTAAACATTATGTTAAATTGTTGATTCTCATTAATAGTTTTATTATTCTACTTATCAGGACTAAGTCAATCGATGTTTTTATGCCCTGAATACTGCTTTTGATGCAAGAGGTTGCTGAAAATAAAGTTAGATGATAGTGAATATTGCAGCAGTGAAAGATCATAAATGCAGTTGGTATATGTATATAGTTACGTCAGAGGATTTCATGTAAACATACGACGCCGATGCGAGGTTGAATGAACTAATGATTCTTTTGTACTTGATGTCTGTCTGGTTTCGAATTCAAAATACAATACGTTTTTTGTGCTCACCTAGTTCTTTATGACTTAAATTGCGTTAGTTCGGGAATTCATAGGTCGTACAATAATTGATATGCCCCTAATTACCACACTGACGTCTAAATAGTGCCTGTGATGGAAAAGTTTGATACTTATTCAGTTTTTGATGCTTTTGAGGATTACATGGAAAGGATCAAAACCTTGACTATGATCAACGGAGATGTTTAAGATGTTAATATTATGGCTTATTTTCTTACACTCGTCGGAAAAGAAGCATTCAGCTTATTAAAAACTCTGCTAGTTCCAGAAAAGCTCATGTCAATTTCTTCCTCAACTCTCAATGAACTACTACTAGACCATGTAAAGTGTACAATTGTCGAATGATGTGAAGGATGAAAGTTTCATAAAGCGATTTGTCATCACATTACTACGTCATTCCAATCCAATGAGTAATCAAAATTATGCAGGTAGTAATATATTGAAAAGTTTTGATGCAGGTCACGAAGATGAGCACAAGATTGTTAAATTTTAACTGTTGCAAAGTTCACTCATGTAATTCATGTGTATTTCGTAATGCTGTGTGTTTTAAATGTGGTAAGATTGGACACATCCACTCGGTTTGTAATACTACTGTTCATTTCGCTGCAAGTAAAGCCAAACTTTGTGATCTCGGTTGTATTAATTTGAGTGCTTTCAGTGATTATTTATCTTTATCCATGATTTCGAAGAACAGTATAGAGTCATATAGCTGTCCAGAATTGAATGAGACTTTTAATCCTTGTGAGACAAACGCTCCTAGTCAACCATCTTCATATCAGATTTCTTATGTTATTGTATCAAATACGTCCTAAATATTTACTTATTTCTGATGTAATTTCTTATAAGTCTGAGAAAAATATATGGAACGAAATAAATCATGATCGAAAATCTGGTGCAGTTTTGATAGATTCTGATTGTTCTAATGATCTACTATTCTCCAACGAAATTCTTCAAGTAGAAGTTTGTGCTGATGATGTCGTTCAGAAGAACGATGGAAGCTCCACGGCCAAACCATCTAGCTCAGAGAACAAAACTCCATCAATATAATCCACCTGAGCTACAAATGTTTTCCAAAATCTCAAATGAATTTCTTAGTGAATTTCTTGAAAATACTTCAGGTGAATGGAATTCTGATGTAACATCAAATGTTATTTGTTCTCATAATGTATTTATTTCTTGTGGTAAGCTTGTTCAATACTAAGCACGAGTACTAAATGAGCTCAATTTCTATTACAATTCAAATGATTTCATATCAACTCTTGTTCATCCTTATCATGAAGTCACTTATAATGAATACTCTAGTCAATGTGAGAAATATGTCTTAAATGAGACTATATTATTCATAACTTGAGGATTTGAAGATCCAACATCTTTTCTTGGAGGAGGGTTGTGTTGGAACGACTATGGTTCAAATTCTACATATCAGTAGTTGCAGTACACAACCGACAAGGTTATTGTATACAATTCCAGGACCCAGGTGAGTCCTTCGTGATTTCAGTTGTTAATTCTAATACCAGTGAGTATATTCTAGATCATGCACAATCTACATCAAAATACACAGTCCGAAAAACACATGATGAACCTAAGGAGATGTTCAATCGACTACATCGTAGGCTGTGTAGGATGTGAAGTTTGTATGGACTAATGATTCTTTTGTACATGATGTCTGTCTGGTTTCGAATTCAAAATACAATACGTTTTTTGTGCTCACCTAGTTCTTTGTGGCTCGAATTGCGTTATTTCTGGAAATTCTAGTTAGTATAATTATTCAAATACTTCTAATTATCACAAGCCAACTATTGAATCCTCACGTTTTATAATGATGCTCGTAAGCTGGTAATCTTCGCGACTATGACGTCAAATTGAATTCATTCCAAGTGTATAAGTAAGAAGCAGATCACTTATGGTAATATTCCAAAATGTACTAGACGAAAGCGTAAATTACATTCTGAAAGCAAGGACAGTACACTTACCAGTATACTGGAGTGATCAGTTCATAGAACTGACTGATTACCCAGAATATTATGTTGACAGATGTCAGCTCAAATCTATTCACATTAAGGACAACGCTAGATATTTTATGCCCAACTAAGTAAGTCAGTTTACTGGTTAAGTAAAATCCTCCGAAAAATCACATATTATTAATGTAGTAACTTCCTATAAAACCTTCATATAAAGCTCTTTATATATTCTTTATTGATATGGGGCTTATCTGATTTACAGAATAATACATCATACCTCCACTAGGTGGTAACAGAATATTATTTCAATAGATGATGAATACACGCATTATTTTCAGGAAACGAAGATAAGTTTCCTAAACTTTCTAAATATTTGACCACTTACTTTTCTTGTATTATATCCACAGAATGCATACAAATACGTGATAAATTTTCGTTAGAATATTACAAATTACATAGAAGACTAAATGGTTCCACTCCTAGGTAGTCGCTCGCACAATCATCTTTATAGTTATTTCATCATTATCTTGTTTTTGTCTTTTCCCAAATAAGCTGTGACATCTCATTTCTTGATAGATAATCTCAATGGTTTATTGTTTAATTAAATATTGCCCTCATGTGAAATCGAGATGAATAAATATTCACAGGACGAAAACTAGTTATGAATACTCCACTGTTTTTGTTTTATATGCTTTTCGCGTTCTTCTTTCAAGATTAAAAATCCTAGTTAGTAAATGAAACGATTTATAAATTAAACATGATCTATTTTACCTCGGTCTGATATCCCCTTTAGTGATTCTGAGAGCCCCAAGTCTGGGTAGAAGAGGATAGTCGAAAGTGAGATTGATAACTAGATCACATAAAAAAGAACCTCACTACAAAAATGTTAACTAGAGAAAGCCATTTAGATTCTGTACTGAGATCTGAAGAGTCTTCATGGTGAAAGCC